TACAGACTGGCAAAGCCTATAAAAATCCTACATTCACTGCAAGATCTCAAAACTCTCTCTTTCATTTTATTTTATTTATCTTCATCTTCATATTTTTATTTATGTTTACTCTTACTGAACTGTAATTTCAATTCTTCGTGCAATCAAAGAGCGAATAACATAAAATTTATATCTTCTCGAATAAATTTCTTCTTTAATAAATTTATTTATCTCTAAATAAATAAAAAAATATTGATAATTAAATTAAAATCATAGAGGTTTTATTAAGTAAACTTTTTTACTTTCAACTTAAATTGTCGCCATAAATAGACACTCAATCATTAATTTTATAAAAAAAACAGCGTATCAAAATAAACAGAGTTATTTTAGTTCTAATCGGTTTTATTTGTCCAAGAATGTAAAATAAAATAGTTTTTACATCTAAAGTACTAGCAGTTAACAGTAATGACGATACTTAATAAAAATAGTTACTTATTTTACTTAACAACGACTTCGTTAACCTAATTTAACTATCACTCTCAGCTCGTCTAGTCTACTCGGGGAATTTGCTATTATACTATTATCCCTGTTATTATTTATTATCATTATGTATTTATAATTTAATTAATTAAACGCTTGAAACTTTCGTTTCAATAATTTCTCTATAAAAGCACATCGTCATCGTCATTGTCATCATCATCATTACCACAAGTGTTAAAGTGTGAATACGTAAGAATTTTCTCCATCAGTCTATTAATCAAACCAATTTAAAATGAATTCATTATAATCAACGCTTGAAATCTCTTTTAATCAATCGAGATTCATATGAAATTAAAATGGTTCAGTTGTAGACCGAGGGTTTTAAATTTAAATTCTCGACCAGGAAAAACAAAAACAAGCGTGTTATATGTTACTTATTATTATTATTATTATTATCAAAGATCAGATTAGATTAATTAAAAAATAATACCATGATTTCATAATTTAAATTTTTAGAATTAATTAAAATGATAGAATTTTAGATAAAAATTCAACATTAATTGAATATCAAGATTTATAAAATTTTTTTTCTTTTTATAATACCATATATTGTATATATATGTATAGTACCTATGTAATGATATCATTTGTATTTTTATATTTACCTCAAATAGCAGACCATCACCAGGCATCTGTACATTCTCAATGTAAAATAACACTTTGATCGTCCTGATTGAATCTAATTCGCAGAATTTATTCCACATTAGTTTAACCTACTTTAACTCTACTAGACGGAATGAAATTTTATTAATAATTTATTAGATTATGTATCAAATTAACAGATTATCGATTTTATTAATACAACGAGTACACTCTATTACCTTCCATTCATTAAAATTTAATACTTGTACACAGAATACTTGAAATTCATTTTAAAGATATTTATTGACACATTTAAATTTTTACATCAGTTCTTCAATCAATTGCATGATTGCAATTATTTTTATTTTACTTTAATTATAAACTTCAATTATCCAAAAAATTAATAGCCAAAGTTAAGAGTAGATATAATTATAATATATATTTGTTATTTCATTTTTAAATTAACATATCCTTTTTGCCCGTCTTTTCCCTAGATAATTTGCTAATTAGAACGTCGATTTATAATATATACATTATTACAGTATTACAATTACACATCTATAAGTGCATTTTCATTTCGGTATTTAATTTGTTGTAGAATTAAATAACGCGCTGACAATGAGTGAAAGTGAGTTTTAAATTTAAATGTGATGATGATGGTAATAAAGAAAGAAGTAAAATGCGAAATAAATAACACGTAGCGGAATTTCGAGTTATGTGCCAAGTGTGTCATCCCAAAGTCTTTCTCTGAACATCAACTATATTATTAACTATTTCCATGTAAATTCACACGACACTTAACTGTTTGTAGAAATTTTTTTCACGGTTCAAATATTTATTATTCTAGAGAAATTTATTGTTTAATATTTTTTATTTAAAATAATAATAATAATAATAATAATAATAATAATATTAATGATAGTAAATTTTTCACCGCGCTATTAATTAAAAATTTATTACCAATTTGCAAATTCATTAAAAAAAAAAATTTTATGTGCGAGAAATTTTTTTTCTCTTTATTTCAAAGCTTCTAATCTCTTCGTAAAAACAGCTTTTACGACCCTCATTTTCAAGAACAATAAAAAGAGCTCAGCAAATTTTATTTCTCTTTAAATATTAACATGTCTATGTAATGTTACTGTGTAGAGACTAAGCGTCATAACATATAATGTAACTTTTTATGAAGAGCCAACAAGTAAAAACTTCATAATAAGTTTCTTTCTATACATATATGTAATATTATATTAATTTTAATAGTATTATGGTTCAGGCTGCGGTGTATATATTTGCATTGACATATGTACGCTGTATAGTCACGAATAAGAGTGTACATATACAAGCGCGCAAGGAAAGTGGGTTGCGAGTAGTACGCGCTCGCGTATTTACGCAAAACCGGAATCGTATCAGATACTCCTAAAAAAGAGTAAAAATAACGTATTCATAATACAAACTTACGGCTATCGAAAAAAAAACTTGTTATTAAATTTGTCATTTCTATAAATAAACTATTAAGTATAAACATATTACACAATTATCATATAAATTATCCAAGTTATAAAATCAACAAACACGCAATGTCGTAGTAAATTCGTGAGCGATTTTAATCAGTTCCAAAATCGTTACCTCCATTCGGGTTTTTATTTTTTCCATTTCAATTCTTCTAACTTGGTCGGTTCCTTTTATCTCCGTCATAAATCACAAAGGAAACTTTTTTTAACTTATAATTATCCTGAAATTTTTAAATTATCTCTTGCTTTCCGCCCTTTTTACCTGTTTATATAAGTTAAATTATTTTTAGTTAATTAAAAAATGAACTTGGATTTTCGGTTAATTAAACAATCAATCAATCACAACAAAATTAAGGGTTCTGTTTTTACTTATCCTATTAGATTAGAAAAAAAAAATTAAAAATGACTGTTAATATTAATTATTAAGGGAAGAAATAAAAAAGCTTTTAAAAATTCAGAGATACTGAAGAGAATTTAAATTTCTTCATTTTCAATAATGTATATTGTTAAGAGAATAAGAAAAATTTTTTGGCCAGTGGATTTATATGATAAATTAGGCTTTTATGGTTAAATTTGGTATCGTTGGAAAAGTCTTGACCTGGAGTTATACATTTTCAAGGTTTCATATCATTCTCACCAATAGTCAATTTATGATGATAAGTATTTAGGCTACATTCGAAAATAATCTATCTAGTATTTAGTATATAGTATATAGTATCTCTATATACATATATTATTATTATTATTATTATTTATTATTTATTTGGCCATGAGATCGTAATCCCTTGTGGCCATACATAAGAGCAAATTACATTTTTACATTGGTTTGATCTCTATATACATATATATGAGAAATGACCTTGTATCTTGTAAACTATTGACATTTTTTAAGATATAAGCTCATCCCGATGTTACACTCATCAAGACCTTTCATTTGAGTACCCACATCGATTTTTCATATATTTTATATATTTATATATTTCACAAATACCATATATATATATATATAAAATATATAAAAAATGCCATGTGGGTACTCAAATGAAAGGTCTCGATTAGTGTAACATCGGGATGAGCTTATATCTTGAAAAATGTCAATAATTAAGAAATGACCTTGTATCTTGTGAACTTGTGAAATTTTATAAGATATAAGCTCATCTCGTCATTACACTTGTCAAGACCTTTCATTTGAGTACCCATATCAATTTTTCATATATTTCATATATCTATATATATTATATATATATATGTATATATAAAAAATATGTCAAAAATGCATGTGGGTACTCAAATGAAAGCTCTTGATGAGTGTAACATCGGAATGAGCTTATATCTTTAAAAAAGTCAATAGTTAAAAAAGTACAGTGCAATTAACAAACTCCATTATTTAATAAAGCAAAATTTTATTAAGGTATCTTAAATAAAAATAAAAACAATATAATTTTTAAAATGCGACGTGATGATAAATTATTGAATAAAGAATTTATTTATTATTCCTTATTAATAAACTTCCTGACATCGGAAGGCTTTGATGACAGAAAAAAGCATGGAAGCTTCCGTGGTGGTTATTTACACCTGTATCGGCTAAGTGACATCGCTCGTGGTTCGTTAACCTCTTCTATTCTATATAATACCCACAGTGCTAGCATGTAGTTCCTTCCTCTTAGCACACTGCATGGCTCTCGTTACACTTGGCGTAACGTCTATAGCTGGTCATGCAGCAGCAGCTAAGCCGGCGCAATTATTTTCAACGTGAGATGATATCTAGTACACTGGCACCATACCCCAACAAAAGTAAATCAAGTCACTGATACCCACGGGAGCGCATTACACCTGCCAGTAATTATAAAAACAAACAGAGAATTTATTTACTTATTTTACTGTAAAAAGAAGAAATGTAAATGCGAATAAAAATAAAAAAAAATAAATAAGCACTAACCTTGCAGGCAATTTACAACCACCGAGTGATTAGTTAATATAATTTTAAAAAACAAACGGATATTACGTCAGGCTGCAATTCCTGACCCCCTGGTATTATACAAAGACAGGACAGGACGCTTTCATTAACAACCAGCGTGTGTGGATGCGATGCATGATGACTAGAGTAAGAGGCCTTGTTAATCGTCTTGGTCAATGGGATAAGACATGCTGACATCCGCTCCGGGATCATTATCCCTCAAACTAAAAGTCTTTTATTTATTTCATTTCTCTTTCGTCGCATCAACGCCCATTTTAAGCTTATTTCTTCCGTGTGTTATTTTTAAATTAAAAATGTTTTTTTTTGTTGTATTTTTTCAGGGCCCGACGATCCAGAATGTCTGTAGAAGATAATTACAAGGATAATTTAGGTCAATAAGAAAGAAAAGTAAATTTTTTTAAAAGACAGCCAAGATGTCGATGGCTTCAATAGAAACGATGGACTCCATCAAGGAGTTACCACCGCGTAAATTTGTAAATCCAAATTTAATATCCCTCAAGTGCCTTCTATTTATTTTTTTTGGTGGTAAGATTTTATTTTTTTTTTTATTTTAATTTTACACTGAAAAAAAAAAAAAATTAAGTTGAAATATTTTTAAATCACTTAAAAATTTGTTTTGATTAAAAAAAATTTTTTTCTTGGCTTTTTAGTTTTTTAGTTTAAAATTTTTTGGCAAATATTTACAAGTGAGGTCAACCAAAATTGTTCATTTTTTTTATGTATTTTTCAAAAAAATATACATCAAAAAAAGATAAAATAGAAATTTTATCCAAAAACATGAGAGCCAAAAATTTTTCCAACTTTTGAAAGCAAAAAAGCTATTAAAATTTTAATTTTTTTTTTTCACGATATTTTTTATCATAAATGCGGCGTAAAAACAAGCAGAATAAAAAAAATTAAACAATGTTAATTTTTCACCTAGATATGGCCAAAAATAGGGTAGTCCCCACTTGTAAATAATTAATGACATTAAACTTAGCTGTCACTTGACCAATATTTAATTTTATTTAACAATTAGATTAATTCTAATGAATTATTTAAAAAAAAATTGCATTTTTAATTTTACAATTTCTACATATCAATTTTTTCTTCTTATTTTTTTGCCATAATTTATTTATTAATAAAAGTTCTAAAAATTATTAAATATCTACTAAATTTACACTTATAAACAATTACCAAAAATTTTTTAGCTTAAAAAAATTTTTTTTTTCAATTTTAAAATTTTTTTATTCAAATTAAAAAAATGAATTTCTTCAAAATTATTTTCTTGATTCAAGTAATTTTTCTTTTCTATGTTAAACTTTTAAAATGATCATCCTAAATTAATGATTAATAAAAATGATACTTAAATGAAAGGACACTTAATAAATTTGAACTTTTTAATTAATCGAATTTTATTGATAAAACTTACAGGTATGGGCTGTCTCTTTCCATTTCTTCCACTCCACATGATTGCGGTGGGACTGACAATGGAAGAAACGCGACTGGTGTCAATAATATCGCCTGTAATAGCGATATTAGGACCAATTATAGCAGCACCGGTAGCGGACAAGATAGCAGCTCGTCAAGGCTCCAAGCCGTCAAACGGGCGCTACTTGAGAATAATGATAGCTCTGGTATGTTTTCTGTCGGCTGTGGTCTACTCACTGTTGCTGTTGGTGCCCGTCGTCGAGAGAATAGAGCTTCCGCGAGAGCACAGACCCACGCTTAGATTTTCCTGCAACCGCGAAGGCGCGACAGTATTTCAGGAACGCATAGATGAATTTTCCACGTGCTACAACTGGACCAGCGAGAGCCGAGTATGCGCGATTCTCTTGAAAAATTGCAACTACGCTTGTCATCCGATAGTTCCCAGGCCGAACCATATGTTCCTAAATAGCCCGACGCCTGCTATCGATGTTCCTCCAAACACCGACATCGGAGTCCTGGGTGTCGATGAAGGAAGTGGCGATATCGTTGGAGGAAACGGCCACGGCAATTCCCAGTACGCTGATTTGAGCAATGAAGACATCGAATGGAGAACTAAAGTCCCGATAAAACACAAACGACGCCGTTATATCCAGGCTAAAAGCGAACCACCTCATCTGTGTTTCCATGAGGGTGATAGTAAGGTTTGTCATGTTTACACTAGTGATACAGGAAGCTTGCCAGTTAATGCGAGCTTCAGACAGGCCAGTAATACACGTAATAAACACGAATGGTGCGCTTATCCAATCACTGAAGATTTTACCTGTAGGATACCACGCAAATTGGAAGCTGATATGGCTAAATTTAATCAGACTTGCTCTGTTGAATGTGATATACTTGACCCGTTTGTGCTACCAGGTATGTTTGCTATATTGCAATTAATTTTTTTTATTTTTAACTACAAGTATCATAGTAATGAAAAAAAAAAAAATTGCTATCCAGTAGCCGGAATGGAGAGTAAATTTATTCAAGTGAATTTCATATTTTTATTTTAAATTTAAGATAAAAGACCTAGTTATTGACACTGGCCTAGTTGTTTGACACTTGCTGTTTTATTCTAATTAAAAAAATTAAATGTTCTCAAAAAAAAAACAAATTGTCTATATTATTAAAAGAATAAGAAAAGTTTTGTCTCCAGGATAGTCATATGATAAAATCCGTTTTTTTTTTTAGTGAAATTTTTGCCTTTTCTTGGTTTCATATAATTCTTACCGATATTCAATTATAGACTGGATTCGAAAATGCTTTATCTCTAGATACATAATTATAAAATGACCTTGTATCTTGTGAACTATTGACATTTTTAAAGATATAAGCTCACCCCGACATTATACTCATCGAGACCTTTCATTTGAGTACCCACATCGATTTTTCATATATTTTATATATTTATATATTTCACAAATACCATATATATAAAATATATAAAAAATGCCATGTGGGTACTCTAATGAGAGGTCTCGATTAGTGTAACATCGGGATGAGCTTATATTTTTAAAAATGTCAATAATTAAGAACTGACTTTGCTATCTTGTCAACTAATGATAGTTTTTAAGATATAAGCTCATCCCGATGTTACACTAATCGAGATCTTTCATTTGAGTACCCACATCAATATTTCATATATTTATATATATTATATATATGTATATATGAAAAATATATGAAAATGCATGTGGGTACTCAAATGAAAGCTCTTGATGAGTGTAATATCGGTATGAGCTTATATCTTTAAAAAAGTCAATATTTAAGAAAGTACCGTGCAATTTAACAAAAGTCATTATTTAATAAAGCAAAATTTTATTTATTTATCGTTCGCAAGTCACGGCAGCCACAAAGTGACTGCAAGGTTGCTAGCATTCATTAATTTATTTTTTTAATTAAAACAAAATTGCAAGTGTCAATAACTGGGTCTTTTACTTTATTTAAAAAAAAAATGTGAATGAATTACAGAATATTAGATTAATTATGTATAATCAAGCAATTTTAAAAAATTTACTTTCATAAATTTTTTAAATAAAATTATTAATTAAAAAAAAATTTTTTAAACTCTTTATAAGAAAAAAATTTTTTTTTTATTTCTCATAAAAGCCACTATACTAAACCTGTAATTAATTTTAAGTGATCTTCATTTCTTCAATGAGTATAATAATAATGCTAGGCGTTATTGACCTTTGCAGGTAGCATTCACACGGAAAATCAATGCAGACAAGTAGCCGGTGATCCAGATATGACATTTTGGATGTATCTGACAATCCGTTCGATCGCGGATATATTTCCAACAGCAGCCGTAACATTGATAGACGCAGCGATAGTGATAGCAACAAGAGAAACTTCCTGCGGCCGAGGTGACGTGGGTAGACAGCTAGCCTTCGGGTCACTAGGTTTCGCACTATTTGGACCTTTAGCCGGGTACCTCAACCTCCTGATAGCTCCAAAGCCGGCGTATCTTTTACCAATAATCCTACACGTCGCAATGATGATTCTCGCTGCAATAGTAGCGCTGTCTTCTAATGGAATGCCTCTGAGCCCACCAGAATGGTGGTGGCATACAAGGTCTGGAATGCTGGCTGTACCAATGAGCGCGGTAAAAAGATACGGCAGCGAAACAGCAGCTCTGGTGGTGGTACTAATTGTCCTGGGTACTCTTTGGAGCGTGATGGACAGTTACCTCTCGCTTTATCTCACAGAACTGACTGGGGATTCGTTGGCGATAGGTGTCATCTTGACAGTCGGTGCCTTGCCGGCGCTTTTGTTCCTCTGGAAGTCTGAACATCTTGTCGACTACTGCGGCCACAGCAATCTACTTATAATGGCGTTCACCATGTACATCGTCAGGTTCGCTGGATTAAGCGTGGTAACTGACCCGTGGTGGGCGCTGGTCTCCGAGGCGTTAGAGCTTTTCACTCTCGGCATCATGTGGGTCACTGCTATTCTCTATATGCGACACCTTATCCCAAGAAACCTCACGGTCACTGCTCAAGCGCTGCCAGTGATTGCCCACTTCTGCATCGGGCGCTGTCTTGGAGCTGTTATCGGAGCGTACGTCCACTTCGGCGACACGGAAGTTTTATCTCTAAAGTATGTTTATCAATGTATGGCCGTGTCTGCTGCTGTGATTGCTGTTTTTTACTTCGTTCTGTACCACGGGATCCTCAAGCCCAAATGTCATGCTCAGACGATACAAAATGCGCGTACTACTCCTTCTATTGTACAAGGTAATTTTTATTTAAAAAATATGTAAAAATTTAAATGATCATTAATTATTTAAAAATAATCAGTAATCTTGCAGTCACTATGTGACTGCCGTGACTTGTGAACTATAAATAAATAAAATTTTGATTTATTAAATAATTATTTTGGTTAAATTGCACTGTACTTTCTTAAATATTGACATTTTTAAAGATATAAACTAATCTTGATGTTACAATAATCGAGACCTTTCATTTGAGTACCCACATGGCATTTTTTGTATATTTTATATATATATATATATATATATATATATATATATATATATATATATATATATATATAC